TAACAACAAGCTTCCGTTATTATAACAAAGTCATTAATATGACTCCAGGGAACAGTTTAATTGCTTGACGACAGATCTAAGACATTATCATATGCAATTATAATTAAAGCAGGAAGCCTGATTATATTCGAATAAATGTTTGATACATGCTGTGTTTCCTATTATTTTCATCAATTCAATGGCGTCCGAGATTGCTAAACAAATTTTATTGTTAATGATTTATACATTGATTTGCATCAAAATTATCTTTTGAGCTGAAAGGTCACACCTTAACAATAGTTTTATAGGATTGCGAGCTTCATTCATTCGTGCTACAGTTTAGTAAACATCATTAATTACTAGCCCCAAGGAAAAATCTAAAGTTAATGAATGTTTTTCTTTCTTCTACTTTGTTTAGTTTGAGTAAGAGCCAGATAAGCTACGTCTTAATTGGTCATAAACTAGTCGTATTAAATATAAAATGACGAAAGTCTACAGTCACTCTTAACTTATTATTTAAATTAAGGAATTACGATATGGTACAAGTTATATTTGTGACAAAGTGTTTTCGAAATAATAAACAGAATTAAGGTTTCTTGTACGTAAACTTCACTTTATCATATAAGTTAGGTTCAGTTTACTATAAAGAATATCTAGCTATAATTATAATCATATCATCAAAATTATTATGGAAAAAATTCACAGCTTATACAACAATCAGTTACAAAATGATTATGAGTTAAAAACTAATTTTTCTTACAATATATTGTACCAGTAATAGATATAGGACAAAAAATCTAAACTTGCCCGAAAACTAAACAATGTCACTACACTATTAATGGTTACAAACTATTGTAACTATTAGTATAGATTATTAGTATAGGTGTGACGGTGTTATATACTGTATTAGAGTAGAAATATCTATGTTAGGATAAGTTTGTTAGCCTATCTTTATTTAGTTAGCTTCTAATTTGGATATACTGTACTTTAATATAGCATTGACTTTTTATGACTGTCACGGTACGAACTACCGTGAAGAAATAGCTATCTAAATTAGGTTAATATAATATAGTGATATTATATTACAACTAGTTACTTACAATAGGAATTACTCTAATTATAAATGTGTTACAGTAAATTTATTGCTGTGCTGTAATGTGTACTGAAATGATTCTGTGAATGGACATATTGTAGTCCGACTGTGAAAAACTAGTTAGTAGATGTTCTCACCCAAGTATTTTTATAAGATGACTTGTGAATGTTAGCTGCTGTAGAAGGGTATATAAACCCGTCAGATAGTTGAATAAAGCAGTTCTCAATTGTATAGTTGTTTTAACGTAGAATCAAAGGCGTCTAAATTCTTGTAAGTAGGGATAATGAATCCCGGAGACTATAGTAATTTAGAGATTTGTTTTACGTTATCCTTGTCACGAAGCTGGTTTGTGACAATGACAGAGACACATATACACATACTGAAATTAATAGTTATAATAGGGAATGCAAATCATCTACTTGCAGTTCGAATCATTGTGATTGTAATTTACTTACGGTAGATTGTAAATTATCGTGGAAATGTTCCGCGATAGGACATATCGTAATCTGACTATTCTGTATTAGTCACCAGATGTCTATGTTCGTAAATATTGTTGTCTGCATTAAGGGAACAGTAGCTATAATTAATATCTAATTCAGTAAATAATTCCAAAGTTAATCGTACTAACTATGACTTATGAACTGTTGAGGGATAGTATATAAATGCAGTATATCGTGTAATAAAGTGGATTCTCAAACTTAGTTTTTTAACGTAAAATACGAGGCGTCTAAGTCTTTCTGTAGTCTGCTAGTAGAGCAAAAGTGTTTGTGATAGTGCAGATATCATTCCTTGATACGTGGTTCTAGGAATTGACTTATTGATCGTACATTACGTTATCTTGTTGCAAAGCTGTTTTGTGACAATAGGTTACTATTATATCGCATTAGAATTTTCACGCTGTCAATAAGGTCTACCCATATCTGAAGTGAATAAATAAGCTAGCCAACTTTCTTCACTACTAACAGCTAGCTACAGTATAGATAACATAAAGATAAATTAAAATCATAAATGTTTACTAGAATATTCTTTAATTAATAAAATAGTGTAATTTGCGCTCGCAAAACTGTTCTTGGAAATATGATTCGATTGTTAATTTCAGAAACTGTTGTAGTGATAGAGATTAGTTTTAAATTGTGTTGTCAATGGGAATTTGGGGTGGTATCTTTAAATTAATTTTTTTCGTACATTATTGCAAGAAAGTATGGCTAGTGGTTAATTGTCCAACTAAATAGCGAGTAAAATGAATTAATAGGAATGAATCTCATATAAATCTATATTAGAATTAATTTACTATAGAGAATGTATAATTTGTATATGTTTTGAATATCACTTGTGTACGTGCTAACCTTGCTAAAGGTATAAAGAGCTTCATACTTAAATATCTGAAAGGAGAAATATGTACAATTGATGAAACTGTAGTGAAAGTGCTTATTTATTAAAGGTTTTTACCTAGAGTGAAGCATTTCATAAGTACTTAACTGACTAAGGTAGTTTAATTAGGTCAAAGTGGCTGAAGACACTTAGTAGCAACCAAGTTAGAGCTAGCTATACTTTCATATTTAGAAAGTTATCCGTATCACAATTGTAGTAGTGATACGACGAAAGCTATAGTTATTTCAGTGATATGATTTCTTTAGGCGATTGAAATTTTCCTTGGAAGATGTTAAATTAAGTTTAAAGATATTGCTTTAAGTACGATATTTACTACTTGCCTTCATGTCATTTCTTTTCAACACTATCTTAGAAAGATCTGGCAAAACTTAGAAACATTCTACAACATATGTTCGTAAACTTTATCAATAGACAAAAGCAAGCCTATTATTTCGTTTCTTTTGAAGTATATCGAAAATCACAATTAATGTTAGAGTAAATTAATGTATGATATTTAATTGCTACTGAAACTCATTTATCTCGGAAATAATATTTTTGAAACAATTTCTTAATTAATCACGAAGTGATCATAAAAACGAATCAGTCTCTTAACCTCTTCAGATAGACATAGTATTTTATTGTCCAAAGTACAATTAACATGCAAAATATAACGATTAGGAAAACTCTATACTAATCA